AATAACATCAAGATTGACAAGTACTGCACTATATATGACATAAAGGTAAAGGTTCCCTTGCTCGAAAGCCAGTCGCATCCGACTCTAGGGTTGCGGTGCTCATCTCCGTTTCAAAGCCGAAGAGCCAGCGCTGTCCAAAGATGTTTCCGTGGTCATGTGGCCGGCATGACTAAACGCCGAGGTGCACGGAACGTTGTTACCTTCCCACCGAAGTGGTACCTATTTATCTACTTGCAATTTCTTGCTTTCGAACTGCTAGGTTGGCAGGAGCTGGAACTAGAGACGGGAGCTCACTCTGTCATCCAGCACACTCGGGTCTTGAACTGCTGAACTACTGACCTTCCACAGCCTGCAGTTCAGTGTCTTAACCACTTGAGCCACCACAGCTTCATATATATGGCATACTTAATAGTTTTTAAGTATTACTTTAGTTTTTTTCCTCACTGTAGGTTATCACCATTTTGGCCTCTCTTTTTTGGTGTAAATTATACTTAAATGAAGTCTGTGTTTTAAAACATGTGACCAAGCTCTCAGACCTCTCTAGCTGTTTGGAAGGACAGGGGTTAACAGCTGGGCATTGGAACTCAAGGGAGAGAATTCTGTCCTTATTCCTGTCTGTAGGGAGAGTGTGAACAAGGAGCTTTCGCTATTCACTACGGACCTTGCTAACAATGAACAGTCTGCCTGCTGCTCTACCATGCATGTTTTTATAAATCCGTACTTGAAATTAAAGGAAGGCTCTGATCTGATAATGTAAAATCATCCAGGAATATACTAATAACTCTTTTTTTGGGGGGAGGTGAAATGTTGCAGAATAATTTTAGCCCTTACCTCTCTTTTTGCTATCAGAATCTACCTTTTTGCTTGTCCCTGCTGGAGAACAAGAAACAGCCAACTCCACAGAATTCAGGTAAGGAACCTGATACACTGTTTACTTCTGGAGGGTTTTACAAAAGCCGTGTTTGTGTGTGTTTTTCTTTTTATCCTCTCCATCCCTTCCTTCATCTCTCCCTGTACAGCACAGCAAAACTAGGGTAAAACGATCAAATTCCAAGCAAACATTGGACTTTGGAGCATTTAGAATCATGCCTCAGATGGAGGATTAATATTGGTTGTAGCTGGTTTTGTTTTCACTTTGAGAATGAAAGGGCTAGAGAGAAGCACGGTGTGAACAAATGCTTTGTTGCTGTGTACAGCAAGTTGAATACAAATGATGTATGCGTGAAACGCAGAAAGAGGCAATGCTGAGAGACAATAATTTAGTTAACAATTTGTATCCTAATAATGTTAATCTTGCCTCAAAATAATTAAAAATTGGAATTAAAACTGAATGCTAATCATTAAATTATGAGTTCTACTGGGCTTGGAATGACTTCATGCATGTCTTTAGGATCTTTTAGAATCTTACCAGGCCTGCCAATTGTAATAAAAGTAATAACTGGTACATAAAGGCACATTACAGATTCAAAAAGAAGTCAGTAAAAGAGAAAGTTTCTCTTCCTTTTAAGGAGTGAGAGCTGTCTATACTATATGTGTCCTTTAACTAACCACTCAAAATTTGCCCAGCTACCAGGATCAGTATCTTGATACACACACACACACACACACACACACACACACACACACACATACACACACACACACACACACACTTTAAAATACAAACTTATCTGCTCATTTGATTCTTTGTTTTAGATTATGGAGGCTTTCAAGGTTCACTATAATTTTTTAAAACTTAATTCAAGGTTTGGCTTGCATACATAAACAAGGAGGTTGGTCCATTAAAAGATGCTGGTTTATTGATGACAGTAATGCTCATACTTTGCTTCAATGTGAATTTTGTGTCAAAATACTGGATGTCTTAATAAGTCCTATTTTGCATAACAGGCACAGCCTCCCAGAAGCGAGGCTCGTTTTCGTTCTCTTATCGGATCAGTGTTCCCATATCCCCCTCGCAGGAGTGAGTTTTCTTCTGATTGCTGTGAGGATCAGGGAATAGAAGATTAAAATTCTGGAGAGATGATTGATTTCTGATTGTACTCTCTATATTTAAATACTGGTTTTGTTTGATTTTAATTTATGCCAGTAAAGGTACTGATTGACTAACAGTAATGCCCAAACACTGTGAACATTGGTCATATGATTATAATATAATATAATATAACTACTGTTTTATAGCAGACAAACGATTGAGTCACTGTAGTAACTGGGTGATGTACTACTATTATGACTACTACTACTACTAATAATAATATTAATAAGTGTGCTTTTGGGGCTGTTAGAGAAACAAAAGGGGTCTTTTGGGTCCAACATTGGTATCTATAGAAAGGCCTGCAGCTTGTCTTCTTAGGGAGTTCCTGAACATTCTCTGTAGTTCCATGATCCTGTGCTTTTTTCTTTCATAATTTGCGGCAGCTTCAGTTTGCAGTTTCCAGGGGAGGGAATTTTTAACTCTTCCCTCCCTGTGCTGTTTTCCTACTGACAATTGTGAATTTGTCCCCCCCCCCCTTGTTGGGGGTAAAAGCATTGTGGAGATTGCAGCTCACAGCAGGAAAAGTTCAGAGGAAAGATGAAAAAGCCTGCTCCTTGGCCAGTCTCCCCCGGAAATCACACCCCTGGTGGCTGCAAGTCTGTAAAAGATTTTTAAAGACTTTTTAAAAATGATCACGGTCCTTGGAGTATCACAACTGGTTTATTTATGATGGTTACAAGAAAAAGGAAATCAGCTAACTGCAAAATTATATCAAGTGCAGTGAACAGTTCCATCTTCCCCTAAAAAAACAACAACAACCCACCACCAATCGGAGCTGTGCTAGTAGGGTTGCCAACCTCCAGGTGGTGGCTGAAGATCTCCCACTGTTACAACTGACCTCCAGGTGAGATAAATAGCCACTTTGGAAGGTAGACTGTATGGCATTATAGCCCACTGATATCCCTCCCCTCCCCAAATGCCCGCCCTCCTCAGGCTCCAACCCCAAATTTCCAAACTGGAGCTGGCAACCCTACGTGTTAGAAGCATTTCAGGGCTGGGTCTCTGGCCAAGCACCCACGAACTGCTTGGAGCAACCATTTTCTTCCTTCATGCTTCTCCCCAAAGGCATCTTTTCCAGTCAGGTCCTTCATCCTTGTCCCTGCTGCAAGCAAGTTCAAATTCATTTTCTTGCACTGACCTTTTGCTACCCTTGGCTATGTGAGTCCCCTGATCACCCACCCCATTCTTTCTCACCGACGGCTTCAGCAGCTTCTTCTGTGGCAGGATCAGATCTTGTGTGCTTTTGAGTGCATTATGGGCTCTGCTAAGTGATAACAATAACAACAGTGATGTCTAGCTTAGCCTCTCTTCTGCATTATGAACCACCATAAACGACTTTGCAAGAGTTCAGAGGCGATGTCAGCCAGTTTGGTGTTGTGGCTAAGAGTGGCAGACTAATCTGGAGAACTGGGTTTGATTCCCCATTCGTCCACATGTAGCCAGCTGGGTGACCTTGGGTCAGTCACAAGTTTTCTCATAGCTGTTCTCTCAAGAGCAGTTCTCTCAGATCTCTCTCAGCCCCACCTACATCACAGGGTGTCTGTTGTGGGGACAGGAAGGAGATTATAAGCCGCCCTGAGACCCCGAGTGAAGGGTGGGGTATAAATCCAACTCTTCTTCTGTGTGAAAACTCCTTGCGGCTACAATTCTGCACATGTTCACTAACACACATGTGCATAAACTCATAACTAAGTCACATTGACTTAAGTGAAATAAGGAGCTCAATCCTCTACATAGCTTCTTGGATGTAAGTCCCATTGAATTCCTTGGGTGAGTATGCTTAAGAGAGCTGTCTTAAATTCATACAACTCCCATTTGGATCCTAAACAGAAGGCTGCAACTCTGTTTAGGATAGTACTGTAGGTGTCCTCAGAGGAACATCATATAGCAGTGCTTGCTTAATAAGACAATTTAAATAATTTTGTTCTATGGAGTTCAGAGTAATTTAGAGAGCAAATTATTTTTTTAATTAAACATTTTTATTAATTTTTAATACAATAGTAACAAAGGTAGTGGAGATATAAACTTTATAAAGGACACAAACACAAAGGATTTTTTAATTTAAAATAAAACCATGTTTAAAACACTAGCACTCTTGCAATATTTTGTTTATTTAACAGTGTCTGATAACTGACACCTCTTGCTCTGAATTATTGCATCAAAATGTCTGTGCTGTTGCAATCTTGAGTATGCTGTTCAGGTGCGTATCTGTAAGCTGCAAACCTACGATGACGCAGCAGCAGCAGAACTGGAAGAAGAAGCAGAAGACAGGCAGTTCTACTGTGGGCCTGATAGAAGCCATCTGGGGACCTGATCCAGCCCTAGGCTTGCCAGGCCCCCCGGGGGGGGGGCGGGGAAACCCCTGCCCGAGAGGCCCGTTACCCGCCACCGGCGGATTGGACCCCGGGGGAACCCCACCCCCAAAGCACGCGATGTGCCCGGCGTTAGCATGTCACCCAGAAGTGACACAGGCGCGTCAGGCGCATTGGGGGCGGGGCTGCGGTCATCCGAGGGAAAACTCTATGGTTTTTCCTTGGATGATTGTGGCCCCGCCCCCGGCGTGCCCGACGTTGTTGCATCACTTCCGGGTGATGTAATTGCGGCGCACGCACATGAACTCCTGGAGCAGCACTGGACTCCCCCGCTATACCTACGGTAAGGACTTGGCAACCCTATCCAGCCCCCAGGCTGCATATTTGAAATCCCTATTTTAGATTATTCTAATTACATGAGACCCAATTAACTCAAAATCAACCAGTGTATGAAGGGCAGGAAGTGAGAATGTTATGGTCAGTCTTCCACAAATTACCATCCAAGGCCTTGGAAACAGTCGCTTAGTTAGAAAATCGCTTTGTCTTTCTGGCAGATGTACACTGAAGGCTGATGGACATCATCGGTGAGAAGACTCTTTAGGCTGGTTCTTCCTGGTGGACTATGCTTCTGTTTTGGAGCAGAGACTTCCACTGAGATGATTCTGCTGATGGCCATGACAGACGTTTTCCTGCTTCTGGGCTGGGTGTGGCGATCGAACAGCCTCTGCTCCCCCACCACCTTTTACAAGAACTGCTGGATCCGACAGTTCCCGGGCCTTGCCGTTGATCTGGAGCTCTCACAGAAGAAAGGGGCCCGCATCCTCAAGAGATACTCAGCAGCTTCTGCCCAGCAGTGCAGCCAAACCTGCTGCCTCCTCAGGAACGGTGAGGGGTGACTCCATATTACAAATGAAATATGATTATTTTTTAAAAAGAAATGTTAACTGAGAACAGTGGGTTAGATCCAGGCTAAATTTCCCATTAGAGGAATGAAAATCTCCTGCTGCCTCCCTCCCACCCACTGATCCCTCTGAAATGCTGCACCTGAGGGACAGGGGACCCTGAGGAATGACTCAGACGGGATCTGCAGTGGGGACAGGGAATTGATAAGAAGTTGCCACTTTAGCCTGGATTCAACTGTTTTTTTATACACACATACACACACACACACACACATACATACATACATATATATGTTGCACTGAGTTGAATCCAGGTTAAATAATGTGTGTGTACACACACACACACACACACACACACACATACATATAGGGGTCATTTCCTGTAGGAGTGCACAGGAGCGGAGCTCTGGCAGTAAAGAGCCCAGGAGGCGGGCATGTGCAACAAGCCTCGTCCCCTGCTCCCAGCAGCCCTCAGTCAGAGCAAGAAGCAGCCAGGTAAGTTGCAGAGCCCCCCCCCAGTCCAAAACAGTCCAGTGGCACCTTTAAGACCAAGTTTTATTCAGGTACAAGCTCTCCCTCCTCTGCGAGGACAGATCTGCACGTCCCCCCCCCCCAATAGCTAGGAATCCAAAACAGTCCAGTGGTGCCTTCTGACACACTTCTGGTGATGTCAGGGGGTGTGGCATATGGAAATAAGTTATGCTAATGAGTTATCCTAATGAGCTCCTGCACCTCTTTTTCTACGAAATGACTCGTGTGTGTATGTATGTATATATATATGGCATGAGATACATCATTCTGCTTCCAATAATCTGTCACACTTTGGTGAAAGATGGGACTGATGTAGGTGGGAACAGGCTTTGTCCTTATTGGAGAAGATAGCCAGGGAGAGGGGAAAGGGATTGGTCCCATTTCATTGGGAGAGAAGTCCACCAGTTTGGTTTTTTACAGACAGGTTTGGGTCTAGATCTGGTGTGGTTGCGTTGCAAACTGGGGCCCCAGGAAGGGCCCATGGCCATCCCTGAGTGCCAGGACAGGAGGTCCCATTGCTGATCCAGTAGTGAATTCACGGGAGTGGTAAAATACTTTTATTTAGGGCAAACAAATGTTCCCAATGTGGTATATGAAATTTCAAATCATACTTTCAGTGTTTCACCAACTTTACTCAGTGTAAAGTGGCACCTGTTATTGAGTCCATTGGCACCTATTAAGGCCAACAAAGTTTTATACTGTATACTGAGATTTGCCCGTCACTTGTCTATTGTGTATAGCATACTTTGCAGTTTGCATACACTGAGGCTATGGCCTAAGACTCACAATCCTTTGCTAAAAGTTATTTCAGAATTCGACTTATTTTCCTGAATCAGCTTTTGATCCAGGCATGGAAGTTCTCAGTTGCTTAAATGACTGAAAATGATAAAATAAACAGAGTCCTGTTTCATCAGACTAAGGTGTGTCTAGCATTTGGTTTCCAACGGGGGCCACTTAGATGCTTCCCAAAAATGCACAATCAAGGCATGAAGGTAACAGCTTTCTCTAGTTCTTTGACCATAGTAACTGGTCTTCAGAGGCACAGTGCCTCTGAACTTGCAGGCTCCATTTAATTATCATGATTAACCATCAATAACAGAATTCTCTTCCAGGAGTATGACTGAATCTTGAGAACTTTAGAATTGGTCCTTTCTTCATTCTGTTTTAATACTTATGTCTATCCATGTACTACCCTACAGATAATTTTCTGGGTCCAATACAGTCTAGGGGTGCCAGGTCTACCCTGGCCACAGCTGGGGTGGTGGTGGTGGTAGGGTTGCCCGATCCAGGTTGTGAAACTCCTGGAGATTTGGGGATAGCACCTTGGGTGAGGACAGGGACCTTGGGTACAATGCCATAGAGTTCACCCTCCAAAGCATCCATTTTCTCCAAGGGAACTGATCTTTGTAGTCTAGAGATGAGCTGTAATTCTGGGAGATCTCCAGGTCCCTGGCATCCCTAGTACAGTCCTGTAACCAGGGCCAGTTCGAGGTGCTTCTGTGCCCTAGGCAGGCGCAGATGCCAACCTCCCGGTGGGGCCTAAAGACCCTTTTGCTGCCGCCTCCTCCTCCCCCCCCCCCCGGGCGGGTGGGTGAGCTGCGGGGTCTGGCTCTGGGGCGGGCCTGGGTGGCACGGAGCGGCACACACACACTCGTGCATGCCCCATTGAGCAGGGGGGCGGGGAGCCTCCTGGCTGGGCCGCGTGGCGTAGCGGGCCCCAGATCGCCAGGTCAAGGTAGATCTGCCAGACTCAACTGCCTGAGAAACAGGGATGGAAGGGGCTTTGGCGGGGGAGGGGATTCCAGTGTCTTTACAAAGTCAGCAAACAGCCCGACCCACAACAGTGCTTGAATGCGAAGCAGGCGGCCAACCAGACATTTGGTCCCGCAGGCATCAAAGAAACCAAATGCGTTGGCGGATGCTGTAGACACCGCGGGACTCAGGGCGCAGGGCCCGGCTACACGGAGAAATGCCTCTGGCCCCACGCGAAGGGAGGCGACGGGGCTGGAGGGAGGGTGGGAGGAGCACCCGTTTTATGGTCCCCCACTGGAAATGGAAGGGAACACCCCACCCCGAAGTACAACGGCACCGGATTGCGGCTCCACAGGGATTAAACACACACACACAGAGACATCCCCCAATAGTCGATGTTTCTCCGAAAGCTGAGCCCTTCGTCGTCCCTCTCTCTCTCCCTCTTTCGGCTGCCCGAGCAAAGCGTCTGAGTCTGGCTGGGCTGCAGGCACGGGGTGAGACTGGGGGCAATTTCACTGGTCTTCCGGAGACAGGCACCCCTCGGTGTGTGGGGAGGCCCTCATGTGGGGAATTTATCTGGCATCTCTGAACCCGACTCTCCTGTACCAGACGCTTGAAAGGCCTGGCGAGAGAGCCCCTGGAACTAGGCCCGGACTTCAGAGAGCGGGGCCTGGAATGGGTTGTGGGGGGGGGGAAGGTCTCCCGGCTTGCCCTCCAGACCTTGCCGTCCCCTGATCGCGCCTCTGGGACCCCTTCCTCCCGGAAAGACCCAAAGGTGCCGGCTGCTGTCCGGATTTGCCTGCAGGATTCACGCCTCCTCCCTGGCCTGGGCCACCCAGCCACCCACCCACATGTCCCATCAGCAGCACCTTTCTGGCCTTCTCGGAGGCCTTTCGAGCCACCACATCACACGCCGAGCCAGAAGGGCTCGCTTCCGCTTCGCCCGAGAGAAATGAAATTGAAAGCAGCCCGGCGGCTCGTCCTTGGAGCCACGCCCAGCCGGGCTGCCACAGGGCTTCATCCTGGAGCCACCAAGCCCTGCAAACGCGGCCTCTTCACTCTCCGAGCCGGCATGGGGGAAGTCCCTCCCCACAGACAGAGAGAGAGAGCGCACGCAAGCGGCGGGCAGAGACCCTCATCCCTGCATCATCGCCCGGTTAGGGCGGCGGGGGCGGGAGGGGGAGCTTTGGCCTAGTTCGCCTAGCGGGTGAGCCGGCCCTGCCTGTAACACACCTCCTCTCGCCCCACAATTCCATCTCATATATTCTTATATATCATCAATGGGGGAAAAATAAAACGTTACTTTTCTGGAATGACACAAGACTGCCTTGAATCCTACTAAATCATGTTTGAAACTTTCGTCAGCCTTGATCCTCCTCCTTGAGCCATTCTTCTTCCAAAAAAGGTGTATTTGTAGGTGTATGCATAAAATCATAGGATCATAGAATGATAGAGTTGGAAGGGATCTCCAAGGTCATCTAGTCCAAACTAGATGGGAAATTCACAAGGTGGGAAATTCACAAATACCCCCCCACACACACACACAGTGACCACTGTTCCATGCCCAGAAGATGACAAAAAACCTCCAGGATCCCTGGCCAAACTGGCCTGGAGAAAAATTTCTTCCTGACCCCAAAGTGGTGATCAGCATATCCCTAGGCATGTAAGAAAGGGCCACAAGGACTAAGCACTGAGGCAACCCTACCTGCCCTCTCTCTCATGATCTGCCTAAGTTCACAGAATCTGCATTGCTGTCAGATGGCCACCTAGCCTCTGTTTGAAAACCTCCAAAGGAGGAGAGCCCACCACCTACCAAGAAAGCCTCTGTCAGGAAGTTCTTCCTACTGTTTAGTCGAAAAACTTTTGATTTAATTTCAACCCGTTGGTTCTGGTCCAACCTTCTGGGGCAACAGAAAACAACTCCGTACCATCCTCTAGATGACAGCCCTTCAAGTACTTGAAGATGGTGATCATATCACCTCTCAGTCATCTCCTCTCCAGGCTAAACATACCCAACTCCTTCAACCTTTCCTCATAGGACTTGGTCTCCAGACCCCTCACTATCTCTGTTGTTCTCTTCTGGACATGTTCCAGCTTGTCTATATCCTCCTTAAACTGTGGTGCCCAAAACTGAACAAAGTACTCTAGGTGAGGTCTAACCAGAGCAGAGTAAAGTGGTACCATCACTTCACGTGATCTGGACACTATACTTCTGTTGATACAGCCCAAAATCACATTTGCCTTTTTAGTAACCACATCACATTGTTGACTCATGTTCAGTGTATGGTGTACTAAGACCCCTAGATCCTTTTCACAAATACTACTGCCAAGACAAGTCTCCCCCAACCTATAATTATGCATTTGATTTTTCCTGCCTATATGCCATTAAAGGTTTATTGATTGATTGATTGATTTTTCCTGCCTAAATGCAGAACTTTACATTTATCCCCATTGAAATTCGTTTTATTTGCTTTAGTCCATTTGTCCAGCCTGTCAAGATCATCCTGTACTCTGACTCTGTCTTCTACCATATTTGCTACCCCTCCCAATTTAGAATCATCTGCAAATTTAATTGTCAGCTAGCTGCCATGTTTTTCTTGTTCCCTTCTCTGATCCTGGTACTACGGCACATGCCTCATAGCTTGCTCGCTACTCTGCCGCTTGCTGTTAACAGTGATAGGGAGACCGTGAGAACCAGTG